ACAGTATTATCACTGCAAAGTATAAAATGTGAGAGTTTAATGTATCTAGAAGGCTATACCCTGGAAAACAGAAAATTGCTATCATTAATGGAGTCACGCCATGTGGGAACGGTAGTGTTCTTGACAGCCATTGTTCTGCCCCTTCATGTGGTTCATTTACATCCAGCATTTTCTAATGGAAGGAGAAGGGAGAGGTGGAACTCAGCACTGTAATGCAGTCAGCAATCCTTTCTACCATGGCTGCATGGAAAACTCTGGATTGAAAGGGTCAGGCAAACTGCCAGGGAGACCTACTCAGTATGCACCTTGAATTTGGAGCTGGTCTGTAATTTTTAAATGAAGGAAGAAAAAGTGTAAAGAAAGGGAAAAAAATCAAGACAAGCCACCTCCCAGTAAACACTAGCTGTTGAAGGATAATACCAGAACTATTAACTGATTTTGCTTCCTTTCCAGTCTGCCTACAAACGAGTTTTGGCCAAGTCAGGGAAAAAGAACTGTTTATTGACTGGAAGACTGTCCCACTCACATCCTTTATAAGCACTGGAGGCAACTGAAGATCTTCCAGGAGTTGATATATCAAGAGAGGGCTATGCTCAACATTTCCTCTCTTATGAAATAGTATCTAATCTAGTTGAGATTTGTGTGAGCGCCGTTTTGGAGGACATGAGAACAGCCCGTTTGGCCTGTGCAGTTGCCGTACTACCAGTAACTAATCACACTCACCTTCAGAATGAAAGGTGGTATATAGAAACCAATTCTTATTTTATGAACACACCTTTGCACAGCACATTTATCAACACCAGACCCCAATCTGCCAACCGTCATGTAAGAATTGTGACGGTTTAAGTATGCTGTCAATCTAATGTGTGGGATCTTCTTTCTCTGGACTGCAATGAAATGACATATGGAAATGGACATTAGACAGGGGCTGTGAGACCAGCTTTGGCTCTCTGGAGAGGCTCAGCCCCAAATATGAGCTGCTGTCTCACCACACAAAGCACAGCCTGTCATTAAGACATTTGTCACATGAATTGACACTTCAACTCAGTTTTGCACAGTTATCTGCACTGTATCAATCCAAAAAACTCCCCCAATCCTAAAAACTTTTTGTAACAGTCAAAAAAGCCTGTTACCTTCTGCAAGCTGCATAAGTTTATTCACTTTGTTCTTCCTGTTCCCAGCAAAAAGCCTCATTAGTCTTGCCTCCTTTGATGCGCCCTTCCCTCCCTTTCACATAATTTGAGCTCCTGCCAGTTGTCAGAGAGAATGCATAGGGAAAAATGTTCTTCTATTAAATCACAAAATGAAGAAGTATCTTGTGGGAAGAGGGCAGATGCAACCAGGCAGTCTGAGAATAAGGGCAGCTGGAATGTGGCAGTAGCAACCTAAGAAATAGAGCAGTGACTAGGACACTTAGTGTGGTTGTGGGGTGGGGGACAGGACACAGATGACACAACCATCTTTTAGTTGTAATATTCTGCAGCTTTCTAGCTCCTTTCTTGGTCGTGGATTGCAAAAGGATTTCACAGATATTTATGAGTTAAGCCTCAACATACTTGTTGGATGTAAATAGCATTACCCCCCTTTTATAAGTGGGTAAACTAAAGAAATGGCAAAAAGGCAAGCTAAACAATACTACTAAAGCAATACCGTGAATTTGCATCAGAGATGGGAATAAAATACAGGAGCTTCAGGTTCAAGTCCCCAGCTCCAGTCACCAGCCAGTATGTCAACATGGATTAAAGGGGTGTTATTGGGTCAGATATGATCTAGAATTTAGATTTTGCAATTATGCATGATTTCTTTCTCAGGCTGTGGTAAACAAACTCCAGGCTAGATGGATATTGGTTATGTTCCCTTAGGAATCCACAGGAGCTTAGTCATTCCCTGAAGGAAGAGTTCTTCTAGATTGAGGAACTCAATTAGCTGAGCTCAGTGTTTTCAAAGATTTTCTACATCTCACAAGACCTGCAGAAAATTGGGTTTTTACCCGTAACAAACAGTAGCTAAGCTAACATATATTTGCAGGAGTTGCTAATTAAAAAATAAAACAAAACCCTAAACATCAAATACATTCCCCTGCAATGACCAGGACAAACATGTTAAGATATAGGAATGCACAGTTGAGACCCTTAAATATCCTTAATCCAGTCATCACAAGCTCATGAAATAGCCACAGTTACTACTGAAGCATTTCAGGATATGTGATCCTAGGCTACATTTAAATATTTGTTAAATACACATTAGTTTTTTTCCTTCAGAGCATCACTACAGGCAGCACATAGTTTTCTGTGTGGTTACAGTCCCCGTTGAGACTCCAGGGGGAAAAGATACGAAAAAACCTTTGTGATCAAGAGTCAGTTGCTTCGAATCTGGGGCCACAACACTAATATGCCCATTGCATCACTACTGAGCAGTATTTTGCAAGAAGACACCATTTGTTTCTCTAGCTTTGGGAAACTGAGCACAGACCAAGTTCCCCTTGTTGAGTGCCTCTCTTGTTTCTTACCCTATGTTAGCATTAAAATCACCAGTGTTACAATAAATACTCTTCTGGGGAGTGATTACGGCAGCCCCACAATGGTTCTACCTTTAAATCATGTACACACATTTTCAACTTTACCATTACTTTGGGTTGGGAAAGGTGGATGTCTACCCATAATAAGGCCCACCCCATGTAGGAAGACTTCAAGCTTCTGTGTGCTTGACAAACATTGCTTTTTTTATTTAAAAAAAGCTGACTTTCAGTCTTCACATACTTCACAAAGAAGTAAACACTGGAATCCCCTAGGAATCTTGTGTTGGGACCGGTGCTGTTTAATATACTCATAAATGATTTGGAAAAGGAAGTGAGTAGGCAGGTAGCCAAATTTGCAGATGACACAAAATTATTCAAAGTGGTAAAGACCAAGGCAGACCATGAGGAACCACAAAACGATCTGACACTATTGAGCAAACGGGCAACTAATTGGCAGGTGCAATTCAACATAGATAAGTGTGAAGTGATGCATCTGGGCAAAAATAACCCAAACCATACCTGCACTATGCTGGGCTCCACATGAGCTGTTACCACACAGGAAAGAGATGTGGGAGTGATCGTGGGCAGTTTGCTAAAAACATCAGCTCAGTGCTCAGCAGCTGTCAAAAAGCAAACAAAACATTAGGAATGATGAAAAATGAAATTATAAACAAAACAGAAAGTATCATTATGCTCCTTTATAAATCCATGGTGCGGCCACACTTTGAATACTGTACCCAGTTCCGGTTCTCGCGCCTCCAAAACATAGAACTAAAGAAGGGCAACCAGGATAATAATAGTATGGAGGGGTTTCCATGCAAGGAGAGTAAAAAGGCAAGGCCTAGTCATCTTACAAAGAAGATGCTTGAGGTAGGACATGATAAGGATTTACAAGGAGATGCTTGAGGCAGGACATGATAAGAGTTTACAATACACTAAATGGCAAAGAGAAAGCAAATAGGGATTTATTATTGAACATCTCTCACAATACAAGAACTAAGGGTCACAAAATGAAATGAGTAGGTGCCAAGTTTTAACCAAACATGGCATTGGTGATACGTAGGGAGTGCACGCAGGTGCATGTGCACCCCGAGATTGGCCATGCACCCCTGGAAGTGCCAGCCACAAAACTGGAGGTGCTGGCAGAAGCGCACTTTTGGGTTTGCGGGTTTCGCTGCTCCAAGCAATTATTACTGAGTGGGGATGCAAGGGGCAGGGCCTATGAATCAGAGGTCCCTAGACCAGGGTGGGCAAAATGCGGCCCACGGGCCACATGCGACCCACCAGGCCATTCTATCCGGCCCACGGAGCCCCTAAAAGTTTAGAAAATTTATATTTATCTGTTCCCGGCTGCCTCTCACGTGGTCCTCAATGGCTTGCCAAAACCCTCCGCGCAAAATAATTGTCCGCCCCTACCCTAGACCTTAAATGCTGGAGGCTGCAAGCAAGGGGAAGAGAGGGGAAACCCCCTTGGACAAATAAAGACATCAGAGGGAGGCAGGAAGGTCACAGGTTTAAAACAAGGGGCACAGACACGGCCCGACCCAGGCACGTGCAGCCCCACGTCCATGCAGCTGCCTTGGAGGAAAGCACTGAATGGGAGGTACTACCCACGCCCCCTGCGGAGCCACTGACAAAGCCCCGCCCCCACCTTCTCTGCCACCCCCCCCAGCCTACGCATGCGCGTTGGCGGCGGAGTGGGCCGTACCACTTGGCGCCCAGTGGTAGGGGCGACGGGAAGAAGGGCTTGCCCCGCTGCTGCCTAGGAAGGCTCGGTTCCGCCTGAGGAACATTTAAGTTTTGAGCGAGGCCTGTGCTATCCCGTCCCACGCAGGCCCGGGGCTCTGCAGGGCGCTGCTCGTCCCCTCGGTGGGAATGGTTCAGCCCGGGGCCAGGCCCCGCGAGC